GAAGTAACATAAAAGCAAAAAACCAAAAGAAAAAAACGAATTACAAACTTTAAAAAATCTTTAACATATTAATTAAACCAATAAACTCAACTATACAAAACGCTCTCACATACCTGTTAAGATGAACCCATCTCTTTTCCATAACCATTATATGTCCTTACCCATAAAGAAAACAAAACAAACACATAAGAATAACACAAACACCAAACAAATACCAAACAAACACCAAACAAACACCAAACAAATATATTCACATTCAGCCAATTCATTCAACTCGTAAACAAATGAATCAAACAAATGAATCAAATTTCAGTTTCATTGTGAGAACTTGCCTCTGTGTTCTGATGCAAACAGGCAGATGATGCAGGCAGAAGATCCAGCTGATGAGATGTGATTACCTTTCAATGTTTAAAATGGTCAAAATTAAAATCAGAGTACTAGTACATAGTAAAGAACTGAAATGCATAGATTGAATGCCTTATACCTTTCAGATTCGAATCTACTGAGCTCGACTGAGCTATTGAGACAGAGGCGGAAAGAGACAGAGGCGGATAGAGACTGAGGCAGAGAGAAACTGAGAAAGAGAGCTACGGAGACACAGAGAGCGACGGAGACAGAGAGCGACGGAGACAAATCGATGGATACCGGAAAGAGAGACAGAGATTGACGGAGATAGCGACGGAGACACAGAGACTGTCGGAGCTTTTGGTGCTTAGAATCGAGATCTTGTCAATGGGAATCGAGATTTCATGGAATGGGTATTGCGATTTCTCAATGCTTTTTGTTTTTGGGTTTTTGATTTCATGGAATCGAGTCTTTTTGGTCTGAAGACTTAGAGAATCGAGACTTTTTTTTTTGTTTGGGGGGAAAACCCCAATTAGTTTGCCTCCAAAATTACCTTTACCCGCTATAATACTGAGTTAAGTTCCCGGTTAATAAAAAACTATATCCTAGCGTTAATATAGTGCTGCGAAATACTTGCCATCCGATTTTGGAACTTTTAGTAGCAGTTCATAAATTTGCGCTACAAAGAACTGCTACCGAAGCTCATTTTTCTTGTAGTGGATATAGCAAGTTCGATAGGAGAACATGGCATATATAGAAGAAAACAACACAGGACAATGTTGTTTTGATTAAGTAAATTCCGCGTGAACCTCAATAGGATTTAGGCTAAATCGTTGCTGCGAGGACATCATGGGACCCAAATTTGTTAAACACATATCATTTCATCGAAAGAGCATGAACTTATAAAGAGGTAACTGAGAGATAACCTTTTTGTTTATGTTAAAATGAGAAATAACATGTTTATCAGATGAAATCAACCAAAGCGAAAATGTTGATGTGAGCTAATATGTATTTATAAGAATAAAAAAAAGGCAGTAGAAAGTCTAGGGTTTCCATTTTTCTAAAATTTAATTTTTATCTTTTAAAAATGAAATCAAGTCATTATGAATAGCCTTGTAATCAACATTAAATTAGAGACATTAAAATCTCAATTTTCATTGTCAACAAAACTTATTATTACCGTTGACCAACAAAGAACCTTGATGATAGTACCGTTGACCAACAAAAACTTTGATAATTGTCAAAGAACAAGAAAAAATCGAATAGCTCTCGTAGCTCAGTTGGTTAGAGCACCCGTTTAGTAAGCGGGAGGTCTTGAGTTCGACTCTCAACGAGAGCATTTTTTAAAATAATTAACATTTTGCAAACAGAAAATCTATCCTGTAACTGAAAATTGTCGTTGTGAATATTTTTTTTTTGCCTGGCTGTATAATTACCAAATATAGAAATAACAAAAATTATTCGAAAACTTTCTTAAAAATAGAATTTGAGGGAAAAAATGGTTCCTTGTTCCTAGGAGAACAGGAACAGAGTTGGGTGTTTCTTGTTTCATCTCATATTGAAACCACCGGAGAGAGAGATAATGGCGGAGGGGCAATCCCCGGAGAACTCACCGCCGGGTCCTCCTCCTCCTTCTCCTCCGTCACTGATAGGTTGCAAGCACCAATCACATTCATGAGGAAGAAGAACAGGTCTAAGGGGAGAAAGGCTCGTGTTTGGTTGCAGAGGAAGGAAGTGCAAAGTGGCTAAGAGTCTGTTTTGGAGTTGAAGTGTGGAAGAACCTCTATTTGAGAGAGAGAGTTCGCTTATAACCTAAATAATATCAAAACGCTGTCGTCTTATTACATTAGCTGTTGAATGTATTTAAGGGAACAGTACCCGTTTCTAGGGTTTTTACCGATTAAAATCAAAAACAACTTCCTCATCTATCTCTCCTCTTCTCTTCTATCTCTTCTCTTCTCTTCTACCTTCCATTTCTGAATCTCTTATCTTTGTTTTGGCTTCAGCCATAACAGTCACCTCCTTCTTCCAACGATCAACAAACAACATCTCCTCCTCCTTCCGACAATCAAGAATTAACATCTCCTCCTCCTCCATCTTCACCTGACCTAGCTCCTCCACCTCAACAACAACAAGAATCACCACCTCCTCCTTCGCCGGATAATTCCTTTGATTGTTCTTCCTCGTCGCCTCCACCACCACTGTCTGACTCATCCTCCTCCTCACAATCACAATCTCTACCTCCTCCTTCACCCTCCCCGCCTCAGCACAGTGACAACAAAGGTAACAACAACGAAAACAACAAAGGAAATGATGGAAGCAACGGCAATGGAGGAAACAAGAACACTTATCATACTCCACCACCGTCTAAGACTTCTGATCATAGCTCCTCATCGCCACCAAAATCGATGGCGCCTCCTACAAGCAACAATGGCTCGAATTCGTCAAGTAACGATGGTCTGAACATTGGTGCTGTTATAGGACTTGTGGCTGCAGCTGGACTTTTGTTCATCGTCATGATCTTGTTATGTGTCTGTTGTTTTCGGAAGAAGAAGAAGAAATCAAAGCTTGACCAGATGCCGTACTACGGAAGCAATGCTTACGCCGCAGGCAAAAGTATGTACAAATAAAAACCATGAACCCTAATTAAAACCCTATTAGTTTCTTATTAGTCAAGAAAAACATGAATTTTGTTTCTTGTCACCAAGAATTAGATAAATCATATATATTCCTCTGCTCTTCTCTTTTAAACACCATCTCATCTAACTATGTACAAAACCTTGAACCCTAACTAAACCCCGTACCATTAATTGAGCTTTAGTTTCACCTAGTTTCTTCTTAGCTAAGCCTTTGTCATACTTTTGTTTTTGTTGGGATTTTAGCTGGAGGTGATCAATATTACAACCAAAATGTAGCAACACAACAACAACACTTATGCCCACTCACATATTGCGCTTTTGAATTATAGAGCTGAAATAGCCCAATAATTCAAAAGCCCAATATGTGAGTGGGCATAAGTGTGACCTTAAATTTAGAGCACCTCCGATGGTGTTTCTTATGGATTTCTTAAAAAAATCTTCAAGGTTAGGTGTTCAAAAAAAAAAAAAAAAAAATCTTCAAGGTTAAAAGTAATTAAAATAAATGAAAACAACAAATAAAATTAAGGATTGTTAAGAGTTGTTTTTTAATATAAGAGGTTTAAGGATTGTTAAGAACCCCGCTTTCTGGTTTGGTCAAAAATACTAATAATATATATATATATATATATATATATATATATATATATATATATATATATATATATATATATATATATATATATGCCTTCAAATCTCAGTAATATGATGGACATTCGAACTCGAGTTCGTGATCGGACTATTCATCAACAATTGAAAGCTGATTTTGTTAAGCATATATAACAAAATTTTGGCATGAATCAAGCTTACAACTAATCGTTATTCCGATTTTTTTATTTGCATATTTTTATATGCTTTTATGTCATATATGTTTAAAATTTTATGAATTGCAATGATTATTAAGTTTTATCAAATAAAAAAAATTTATAATTTTTAATTTTAAAAATATTTGTTTTAAAAGAAACTCACTTTGAACTCTACCATTGGACAATGAAAAATTTAAGGACTCTAACACAAACTCTAAAATTAAAAAAATTGTAAGAGTCTCTTATAAAACTCTACCATTGGGGATGGTCTTGAAATCTATATTTCGAAACACTGTTGTTCTGTATTTAGCTATTCTACCAACTACCATGCAAGTGAAAAATGATAGATTCTTATCTTCGGAGATCGTAATAAAAACTCGTGAGATCTCTATTGGATTTTTATTTTGTCAACATGAGAGTTTCTGTTAGGATTTAGTAGGCTAGATAGCCAAATTTTATACCTTTATTTATGAAAATGATGCCGTGAAAAAATCGTAATTATGTAGGTTTTGATTTTCTGTGTATATGTTTTAAACAAGTTACGTGATATATCCTTTATATTAGAAAGTACAAGTCACTTGACCAATAAAATTTTGACACATGGTCTTTTACTTCAAAATTTAAGTAAATAACAAAAATATAAAAAAAATCAGACAACGTGATACAACTGCCTAAGATTTTATGTTTCTAAATTTTCAAAATAAATTACAACAAATAATATGCTATAAATTCCTAACTTTTCTAACCACACATCTCATGATCGTTAGAGTCCTAAAATCACTCTCAATTTAATTAACAACTCATGATTTTAGTTTTATGTGTTTCACACATGTATATATATTTTAAATGTATTAGTGATTTTTAAATGTATTAGAGTTTTTTTAAAATGTATTAGTGATTTGTTACGTATTTGATAAACTAATAATAATATTTTTTATTTGATTATACTAAAATAAAATTTCAAAAATTAAATTTTCGTACGATGTACGGGTCTAATCCTAGTTATATAAATAATGCACTATCGGATAAAATATTGAAATAATATGTATGATATTTGTTGAAAACGTGTAACAATCATGTTATTCATTTCAAATTCACATCTGGATGTATAACTTCTGCTGGTTTTATTTTTGTTTGTATTTGATCTATATTCTATTCTTTATCCATAGAGGAAGCAAACAAGGTCAGTGTATTCAAACTGATATGGCGTATACTGTCGGCAAAAGGGTCCTTATGGGTGAACTGGGTACATAGATACTTAATTCGTTTTGGTTCTTTTTGGGCGGTAAAAGGGAATTCAATGAGTGGTTCATGGATATGGAGGAAAATTCTAAAATACCGTGACATGGCAAAAAAGTTTCATCGAGTAGAGGTGAAGAATGGAGAGACTACATCTTTTTGGTATGATTCATGGAGTAACATGGGATGTCTCATAGAGAAACTTGGAGAACGGGGCTGTATTGATCTGGGAATTCCCCTATCTAGCACGGTGAAAGAAGTAATGAACATGACTCGGAGAAGAAACCATCGACAGCTCACCTTAAACCGTGTAGAAGAAGAAATAAGGGAACTAAGGTTGAACCAGAGGGTGAATGAACATGACACAGCTCTGTGGAAAGGAAAAAATGACTGCTACCATAGGAGGTTCATAACGAGGGAGACTTGGTTACAACTGCGCATAGCTAAGCCGCCGATGGAGGGACATAAAGAGATATGGTTCCCAACTGCAACTCCAAAATATGCATTCATTACTTGGTTGGTTTTGAAAAACAGAATCTCAACAGGGGAGAGAATGTTGAAGTGGAATGGTACTGTGAATTCAAGTTGTGTCTTTTGTGATGAGCCGATAGAGACAAGGGAACATCTCTTTTTCTGCTGTCCCTACTCCAAAACGATATGGAAGAACCTAGCAATGGGAATTCTGTCTACTAGATACTCGGAGAGTTGGACAGACATTTTGAAGTTACTAGCAGAAAACATCCTCGACAAAAAGAAAAGCTATATGCTAAGGTACGTATTCCAGAACTCCATCCACTCGATTTGGAGTGAACGGAACAGAAGGAGGCACGGGGAACAACCCATACCGTCGGAACTACTCGTGAAAATGATAGACAAGAATATGCGAAATCGCTTGAGCACACTCAAAGGTGGCTGTTTGAAATCTGCAGGTGGAATCCAAGCATGGTTTGAATCAAGGCAATAGAAAACAGATAGTAGCTCTATTTACAAATGTTTCAGAAAAGTTAGCATTTCATATGTAAAAACGTTTATTTTCTTTTGAATATAATTTAACATTAAATTCAAAAAAAAAAATTCCTCTTAACGTCTATATATATACCTCTCAAAGCTAAGTGAATAACTTGGATGAAATGTTCAAATCGCGGTGATGTGAATGGTTCGTTGTCGACAGTCGGGAGATATTACTAAAACTTGCTATTATTGGCAAGAAGGGTAAGTCGTAATTGACTTGATGCTAAAAATACGTTGGACCACCCTGTATTATAAGCGTCACGTGTAAAAATCATATATTCCCGCATGATCGAGTCACTTCGATCCAAAATTCGAAAATTTCCAAACCGGACATATATATTTCATGGACCAAAAGCTACATACATCGTGATATATAAATATGTAGTATAGCATGAGATATTATATGTTACATTACTAGTATTTTCACGAGCTGCTGCAAGTTACACAAAAGAGGCAATACCAAAACCAACATTAAGGCTGTCTTTCTTTCTTTTTTTTTTGTTCCTTTCAAACCATAGTTATTACAACACATACTCACATTATATAGAGCTAAGTCTATTTTCTTACTTTGTTACCCACACAATGTTATCAAGAGGGAAGAAATGGCAAACCGGTGCTGACCTCGGCTCCATCTTCAACACCTTAAAAGCTACATGATCCGCATCCCACGTGGACGTGTCCATGTGGCAGACAGCGGGTCCTACGACCCGTTGTCTCCCATCATCCGTCACCAAATTAACTTCAAAGACTCTGCTTCCACCTTTATGTCCGTGGCAATAGTAAACAGCATAAGGGTATAGCATTCTATGGCATCCCAACATCTTAATCCCAACAAGTTCCTTTGGAGCCTCGACGAATGTATAGTTATGCAAAGCGTAGCTTATCGAATTTTGGGCCGGTACCATTACTCTAGTTGTCATGACCTTGAGGTCAACATTATACCCCATTGTTTTCTTCACAAGATCGATCAAAGACTCCAAAGAAGTCCCGCAAAACTTATGCTCACCTTCAATAGCTTCAGCATCACAATATCCCAGAGTCTCCTTTATGGCTTTCCCTTGAGGAGAGTCTTTGGTGATAGAGAAGTGGTCCAGAAGGAAGTCAAGCTTTGACTTAGTGAAAGGAATGAGATCAGCTTGTTGTCTTGTGAGAAGTGGAGGAAGCTTTTGAAGATCGTTTTTGTAGAAGTAAATCAGCAATTTGGTTCCTAGTTTGAGATCATTGGGTGTGAAATACATGTACAATGAAGGATCATCGAATTCACCATCTTTGAGCAAATGACTAGTATCTTGACCTTCGTTTTCCTTGATTGATATCAGCTTTCTTGACGTGTGTGCCTCCACTACCCACTACATTCAAGAAACACAAAACCGATAAATTAGACACCAAACAGTTCAAAAAGATTCAAAGTTTTCTTTTCGATTTAAATAGATTTTTTTTAAAAAAGGTTGCCAGAAGGAAAATAATACTTTTTTCTTCCTAACAATGTGGTAAGAACCCATGATGCAAGAACTTATGTACAAATCAAAATTCATTACAAACTATGTCATGAATATATGCTGTAGATTCTTGTCCGACTGAAGAGAAAAAAAAAAGGTTCTTAAAACATTATGATGCATAAACTTCTGTAAATTTGTGTGCCACAATTACAAATTATGTGATTAGTTTCCAGGATTTTTATTTCTTATAGTAATACTTTTAACCATATACATATATAGAGGTTCATATGTATAAAGAATAAGGCTTTCAATTTAAGCCTCTTAACACACATATATGTCTATACATATATAGAGGTACATATGTATAAAGAATCATATACATGTGTATAAATTTGTTAACAATATATGGGGAGAGATAAACATACCAGAGAGAAGAGGAGGAGAGTGAGGAAGCTAATAGAGAGCCTAAAAGTAGAAGCCATGGATTTTATTTTCTCTGCGGAGAGAAAATGAGTTTCTTCTTCTTCTTCCTCTTCTTGATATTTTGACTTTTTGTTTATAAAAAAAGGAGAGCAGAATATTTTTTTAAAAGTGATCTTAGATCTCAATGAAGTTGAACATCCATCTATGTGTGTGTATTTATAATAATCCATTATGATGATGCTGACTTCTTCATTATTTTTAAATTTCGAGGATTTATTCGTTTATTTAAGTTTACACATATAAGTAGACTGTTGACAGTTTTAACTCAATTTTATTTGTAATTATTAAATTATTGTGACGCCTGCAGCTTCTTAAATCGTCATCTAATTTGAAACTGTAAAAGATACGGGGATAAAATAATTCGATATTAATCCAAAGAGATTGGTTTGATTGGATTCTATAATACAAACAATATAGTTCATGGATCATCCTTTACGTCGTAATTGAAAAATAAAAAAGAAAGAAATGAATCTTGTTTGTATATTAGTTATGGTCGTAATCATTTTCTTAAAAATAGATAGAGAATTCGAGAGTCATCTATAAATAGTAAGATTTAATTGCAAAATAATTCTTGTATTATTCGTGCCAAAATTTGTTTATCCGCATTTGCATGTAGTCTCTAGGACTTGTTGGAGATACAATCTAAGTCCCACATCGGAAGTTTGATGGGACAACCAATAATATATAAAGGGTTAGGGCCAATCCATTAATTGTCAATTGGTTTTTAGTTGGAAGCCCAGAATTAGCCCAAATTTAACATGGTATCAGAGCCCAAGGTTCAAATTCTGGTGGACCTAGAAATGTGGATACGGACATACCTCAAACCCGAGTAATGGGGGTCCGAGAAAGGGGCTTATTATCGATCCGAGTGAGGGATCGATGAGGCGTGTTAGATCCATATGGTCCTTGGATTGAAGGAGAGATTGTTGGAGATACAATCCAAGTCTCACATCGGAAGTTTGATGGGACAACCAATAATATATAAAGGGTTAGAGCCAGTCCACTAATTGTCAATTGGTTTTTAGTTGGAAGCTCAGAATTAGCCCAAATTTAACAGGACTATCGGGGATCGACGCTAGTAAATGATGGCGTAAGAAAAAAAAAACTATCAGCCATAAGAAACTTTTCAATACTGTGTGAACAGAATTTTTTCCATAAAGTTTCAGATCTCATAAAAAGTTAAAATTATTGTAAGTATGTGTTGATAGTATTGTGAGTTTTTTTTTTTCTCTATATGATGGAGAGGTTTGAATCCTGACAAATGAAATTAAGACATATTGTGATAGGATGGTTCCTAATAGCTTAAATTTAGATATTTATAAATATATATATATATATATATATAATGTTTATTTTGTATGAATGTTTCTGATTTAATTTTAAAATATAGAAAAGTAGGTCATCCTCACGAAGTCTTGTGGTACTCTTCAATAAATCTTTATTGACAATGTGAATGATGGACCTTTGGTGAATTGAAAAGGATTCAAACAATAAAAAATATTTTTAAAATTTATTAGGACCACTAATAATAATAAGAAAAAAAATAAAAAGTAAAGAAAAAGCTCTTTGATCTTTCATTGAACTTAGTCGCAGTATCATTGACCTAATTTTTTTTTCGCATAATTACTCTAATCCTAAGGTGACAACCAACCCACTATATAAAATCTTTGACTTTAATACATCACTAGATTTTACCCCGCGGTACACCGCGGATCGAATTTTTTATAACTAAAAAATTATTTAGCAAAATTTTAAGTTGTATTTGTTTTGTTAATATTGTTTATTTTGTTTAGTGTTTCTGATTTTATAATTAAATTTTGATTTTTAATTCTAGGATTTCATCCATAGTATATTGTTTAATATTAATATCGATCCAAACTCGTTGCACCATATAACTCCGTCCCGTAAAATTAAACATCATTTGTTAATCTTTTTTGAATAATATTTTTATCCACTACGGGTCGCAGGTTCATGCGGATAAGCCCGTAGAGAATTGCAGGTTTGCGGGTCGACCCGCCAAAAGAGAAGCTATCTTTTGAAACCCTTTGTTTTATTTAGAGGTTTTGAGAAAATATCCCTAAAAAATAATTTTCATTATATGAAAAAAAAGAAGTAGAAGAAATTGTAGTATCAACATTCCCGATTTTTACATCACTCGTTACAATTAATTTTTTTTTTTGCATATAAAAATCAGAACTTAAGTAAGTTCTTAAAAAGATTGTGTAGAGATTTTTGATAAATTGTTGAGAACATATTTGATTTCAAAATCTTTACTTAAATAGATAAGGAAAGATTTTGTAGAGACTTTTGCTAAATATATTAGAAATGAATTTCATTTAAAAATCTTTACTTAAATAAAACAAATCTAAATAATTAATGCTAATGGCATGCCATTGTAAATACTTCTCAACTTCAGGATTTATTTGCTAATTGTGATCCAAAAATGTATATATAGATCCATTATGTTTTATCATCCGAATTTTCCAGAAAATAAGAAGAAGAAATCAGAATGAATATTCATGTTCATGGAATCTGTTTTTAGCATATGGATCACAACAAACTAAGGGTTTTGAATCCATTGTCAAGATTTGTTTTAAATCTGCTTTCTTATGAATGTTTCTGACATATATAGTAGCTTTTAAATTGGAAATTGCAGAGTTCTAATAAAAATATAGTAGTTTCGCTTTCGCATTAAAACTAAAATAAAAAGGAATGAAAAGACAAAAAAAACATAAATGAGAAAATTTAAATACAGATATTTATCTCAATTATTCTCAATTTTATTTTTGATTTCTTGTGATATATTTGGGTTGTTTCCCATTTGTTAGATCTTCGAGGACATAAAATGACTAACACATGGATGAATATAATGTATTCTCTTTCCATTTTACAAATAGTGTCAATTTATGCTAACATTTTTATTTTTAAAATCGTCCTTATAAGATTTCAATGTATTATTTTATCATGATGTTATATATCAAAAAGTGACATTACAAAGTTTCTTTGTAACTAAAACTAATTGAAAACGTAAAATAAAAGTAAAATTTCAAAATCAACTTATTTGTATAAAAATATAGTTAAAATATTAATATAGTACTTATATTTAAACAGAGAGAATAAATCTCCTATGGACAGTGAATATCCATTATAATAATGAGCAATAGTTGCAATGTTGCAGTACAAAAAGAGAATTGTAATATTTGTGCATGATTGAGAAATCTAAGTTGACTTTAGAATTAAAAGGCTAATTCCAATAAGTACGTGTAGAAGTTGACTATAGCTATATATAGACTACAAATTGATAATTTCAAGAAAGACATTAAAATTAAGATATGCATGCATGACTTGAACCCCACTCGCTTGCTTCGTGCCATTCGACAAGATGTTACTTTTAAATGTAAGGTAAATTATTATGGGTCTGATTTGTAACACAAAACTATATAAGTTTTTTAACGGTAAACTATTATATAACAATACTAAACTGTAAGAAATAGTGGTATACTAAAACTGTATAAAGAAGCCGAGAATAATATTTTAGTAACGTTTTTGATATCCTTTTTCTGATTGGTAATTTGTAAAAGCAGTACATCTCATATAAAAGCAGGACAAGGTTACTATTCAAAACATTTATTTAAATTAAAAAATGGATATAGTATATACGATGTTCGATTGATTAATATTTTTCTGAGCTGAATTTTTGTATATAAACTTGATTAGGAAGCATGATTAAAATATACAAAAATCTTTTTACCATGTTTAAAACATGATTAGGAAGCATGATTTTTGTTACTTTTAAATGCAAGTTCAATTATATATGATATATAATATTAATCTATGGAATATGATATACGATGTTTAATTAATTATTTTTTTATTTCTGGGATGAAATGTTTTACTATTACTTTTCTGGTAAATGTAGTCGTTGGATAATCTATTCACCGGATTTTCTAATGTTAATATATGATACCATTTCAAGTGATCAAATACAAGTGATAGAATAATTTCATTTTTGAAAGGAATTAATCATGACCTAAACCTAATGTTCTAAAAATCGGTTTAGGCGGTCGCCTAAACCTCGACTAGACCCTAGACGCTCAGGTGACGTCTAGATGACCGCCTCAACCTCCTAAAATAGCATAAATCTCGTTTTAGTGTATTTTTCTAATTTCCAACTACATAGATTTAAATTTATAAGTTATACCTCTATATACATGGATATAAACGTTCATATGTTGTTTTATATAAATTAAAGAAATGTTTTTATCTAATTCTTGATTATGATTTAATATTTTTTATTTTTCTTATATATAATTTTATGTTTTTATCTAATTCTTGATTATGATTTAATATTTTTTATTTTTCTTATATATAATTTTATGTTTTTATCTATAACATCATATTTATAATATTTTATGTTGTAAATGCATAAACCACTTAAACCGTCTAAAATTACCAAGACTCCGATTAGGAGTTCTAGACGCAAAGGTCATCGCCCTATTAGCACCTAGCGCTATTTTAAACATTGCTTAAACCTATAAGACAACTTCTTCACAAGTGAGAATTAATAAAAGACTACCACTTGGTTGCATAAATCATTGTTGTAAATCTGAAAATTGGTTTGGATTTTATCCGATATGTCATATTGTCATTTATATAAAACCTGTATTATTTACTATTTTACAATTTTGCGGCAAATAGAAAAATCATCATCTATTTAAAAACTTTTCATTTGCACCACAATTAATCAGAGACAAAAGTTAAATCATTCTAACCATATATCTTATCTACACTCTTTAGTCTTTATTAATTAAACCCCATAATAGAACAAATTTTCGAATACCCACTTATGAGAAGCACTAAGATCAGCTTTTTCTTTATGACTTTCTTTCTACAGCTGAGCTGGTAGTCATGACTCATGATTATCCTTTTCTAATGGGAATATTGTAGAAGCGGTTTCAAATCTTTAGACAAAATTCCATGGCAACTAAAAGTTAGGAAAGTTAAAATAAGGTTAGAAAAATATGAGTGTACTTGGCCATATGCCAATTTGTTGATATCATATCAAGAGAAATAATAGTTTATTGAAGCTTAAATCATAATCACAAATACATCATTGCCTTC